AGGACGTGGGCGATGCTGTAGAGCATCACGTAGATCATGTAGAGCATCATATAGAGCCGGACCGAGCTCCCGTGGCTGCCGCGACCCCTGGGAGGGGGCAGACCCACAACTGCCTCACGGCTGCCCCCCCGCGGCCATTCGCGCGAGGGGGGGGGCTTCCCGCTTTTCCCGCGAGCTCCGCTGTTTTTCTGCGCGAATGTGCTGTTCGCCGCCGGGATTCGCCGGTTTTGCCGCGGAATGCGCGGGGTTTGCCGCGAAATTCCCGCTTTTCCCGCGAGCTCCGCTGTTTTTCTGCGCGAATGTGCTGTTCGCCGCCGGGATTCGCCGGTTTTGCCGCGAAATGCGCGGGTTTTCCCGCGAAATTCCCGCTTTTCCCACGAGCTCCGCTGATTTTCTGCGCGAATGTCTGCACGAAAGGTAGGCAGTTGCCTGAGGTCTGTCAAAAGTAATAAATTTCCTACAAAGTCAGACTCCTCTGTGCTTAAAGAAGTAAAAGAATTAAAAAATAATTAAAAAAATTAAAAGAAATAAAGTCATCACAATGACTCTGCTCCTGAAAAGACCTTGAGATCTATTCACTCCCCAGTGAAAGGGGCACTGCTGGAGGCAGGGGTGCACTTAGCCTAGCCTCCTTGCAACCCATCACCTTTGTAATCTTCAACTGCCTGCCTCTTCCTCTTCAACTTGAGGAGAAATTCCTGAAAATCCAGCTTGTTCTGACCCTTGTATATATTCCTTCTCTAAACACCTTATTCCAAGACAACTTCATACTTCATAGGAAGGGCCTCCATGCAGAAATCTGTTAGAAAGACACTGTTGTTGGAGAAAAACATTTGTACTTGATGTAAAGGCCAAACTACAGTGATTCAATCCCTATTCTCTGGGAACTGAGCCCAGCTGCTGCTTGCCTTCTCTCTAACCAATAGAGGCTTCCTGATTTCTTTTAATAACTTGGTCTTATGGTCACTAAAATTTACTGAGCCACTTCCTGTGGCTCTTTTATCACCAGCTGGGAGGAAGCTGAACTGTATTTTGCATAACCTAGAGACAGTGAAATTCCAGGACACTAAAAAGCAACTGCTAGAAGTTTAACCTTTTCAAGTGCCAAGACATTGTCCCAAAACCACTTGCCCAAAGTGCTGCCTGATGTTAAGCTCGCCTGAGGGACCTTTTGACAAAGCTAGAAACACAGTGGTGTCTCAGAGGTACAAGGATAGAGGGGTGACCTGGTGCTCAGTTACTCATTCACCAGTGACTATTTTAAGCTACGAGGTCAAACAAAAAAGTGGAGAGAAATACTGTGTCCTAGGAAGACTTTCTGCTTCTCAGTAGCTTTTTATTTTTCCTTCGCTGACAGTTTCTAATTCTGCTCATCAGACCAGCACAGGAACCTCCTAACGATGGCACCAACCTGCTCTTGGGAAACTGCTGCCTGTACATCCCGCTCAGCTGGCTGCTGTCAGTGATTTCTCAAGACTATGTCTACTGGGTTATTTGCTGAACTGTGATTATTTTTTTTTACATCATTTATTCATAAAATCTTCTAGCAACATGAGAAAACTCATTCTCCTTTGCACCTGCTCAGAAATTAGTCAGTTCATGTAATCTTTATCAAAGCTTTCCTTATCTCCTTCTTGCTTTGCACCACAGCATAAACTATTTAGGCTGTTGTTAACTAGCAGTGAGCTTTCAGTCTCTGAAAGCACTGGAGAATGGCAGCTGCGTCTTGAAGCCTAGAGACAGCTTTTATTTAAATCCTATAGTGAACATGTGGGTGTTTGGGTGTGCAGGGTAATAATAAAGTACAGTATATGCGCTCATCTACATTTGGTATCAGTTCTGCTACGTCAAACACATCCAAGTCAGTCTGTGGCTCTGGTTCATAGCTAAACACATCAGCATAAAAAAGCTGAACTATAAGCTGGGTGATATGTAAACCACAAGCATTAGGGCTTCTACGTTCCTCTCACACGTTCAAGGTCTACCCGATTACTGAAAGCAAAATCTTGCTTTGCTTAAAAGGAAGGCCAAGAAAAACAAACAGCAACTCCTGTGGATATATTTAAAGTCTTTAATTCCCCCCCTCCCAAAGTTGCCCTGGCTTTTCCCTCTCACGGCAGAGGTGCCTCCCAAGTTGTCCCCACAGAAGGAGGTAGGAGACAGTGTCTTCTCCTGATTGTGCTTCCAGGGGAAGGTGGTAGCTCTCAAACCCCAAGACAGTCACTTCCCCAGGCAGGATGGTCACAGATTCGGGATAAATGCCTCCACCTTGTTGGTTTTGAACAGGAAAAGGTGATTATAAGCACCCAGCAATGATCACAGGAAGGGTCCAGCTCTGCCTGGGGTCTAGCTGGAGAAGAGTTCTCAGGGTTATGATTACAAAGAAATGCCCAGCTACCTGCCGCGTGCTGTCCACATAGGTGGCACGGTTCTCTAGAAGGACCATGGCAACCGTTTCAACACCTCCACTCACAAGTTCTTCACCATCCACAGATATTTTGCCTGTCTCTGGCATGTCAAAGTGGCAATCCACAGTTGTCTCTGCAGTCAGACCCTCTCATGGTTGCCATGCTCTCACTCTCAGTTGATAAACACAGGGCTGGAGCTGGAAGATGGGGTCACTAATGGGAAGCCCCGTTCACCAGTCCTGAGATCTCTTGATAGGTGGTGAGCATGGAATCACGAACCTGCGTGGTGAGCTTGGGAACATCATCTGGGCCCAGGCCAAGAGTCTCCACTTCTGGCAGGATCTGGATGATGAGTTTGCCTGGAAAAGTGAGATAGGAGGGTCAGAGAGAGGGAAGAAAGTATGTGACTGGTGTAGAAGAGCAAGAAGAGATGTAGCAGAAGGATCAGTGCAAGGAACAAGCCAGCAATGAAGGGAAATCCCCTTTCACGTACCAGCGGTGGTGTAGCAACCCAGTCATGTCCCACATGCACACAGAAAAGAAAACAGATCAGGCTTTTCCCATCCACAGAGACCACAAAGAAATCATAAACAGTGAAAAGGGTTACTCTTTTCCCAGATACATTCAGTGCAATGATTCATGCAGAATAAGTTTTCAGAGTGGAAAGACCTCATTGTCTGTCTGGAGCACAGCAAAGAGACTGAGATGCCTGTAACACAACACATCCAAACCGGCCGTGCTCTCATCTACGAATACCAAATTCAGCAGAGTCCCTCATTCCAGAAACACACTTTGGGATGACAGAAATTGCACCCAGGACCCCCTGTTTGGCCAAGGTGGGTCATGCTCCTCTTGGGAAGTGCCGAAGCAATGGCCTGGTGCAAAAGGGGACAGTGTACTGGGGACCTGTCATCATACTCTTCTGCTTTTGCACCCAGTGCCCCTTGGTATGGACACAAGACACTGCCTGCACAGACACCTGAGGGGTACAAGCATGGAGATGAACGGTATAGCCTTCCCTAGAAAGCTTCTCCAGGTTCCCTCATAGGGGTATGAGGTAAGCTGGGAGAAATCCAAGGGGAGAGGCAAAAGTGATGCCTGAAATCCCCCATTCCTTCACCTCCTGAGAAGACAGAAACCGCTGTTGTCTGGCTGCTACCTCCACATCACACGCGGTCCTCTGCCCACCCACCTCACGGCTCCCTCCAATGACTGAGCTTGCACCAACACCCAGCCCATTTTTTGCCCCAAGTCATGCTCACCTGTTGTAAATCTCTTCTCCTTCTGGCTGTAGAAATTGCTGTAGGAAGAGATCACTGCCGGGATAATGGGGACCTGGAGGGGAGGCAGTTTACAGTGAATCTACAAATTTCTCCATTCCTTCCCCAAAACAGAACTGGTGTTCCGTCGGGTGAATCCTGCACCTTGCTGATAATTATCCCAGTCAGCTTCATAGTAGATGCTCAGAGAGGTATTGGGATATTTAGATCATCTAACTGTATCACCCAATGTCCTCACTGCTGGTTTTTTGCATTTTCATCTCTATAGGTAGGCCAAAAATGCATGGGTTGCCCAATTATTAGTGTACAGAGCCCTGTCCAGAGGAAACTCCCCCTGGGCAGTTCCAGGGGTCTTATCAAGGTCCCCCTACTCTTCTTTTTTTTTTGCAAGATGAGTCATGCAAGTTTTCTACTCGTCCTAGAAACAGCACCCTGCTGTGTCACCTGCAAGCTTCTTGTAGTCTCCTGGATGCCTGCTCAATCCACAGGAAAGCCAGGGAGCAGGAGCCACAGTAGCCCTGGCTGCTGGTGGGCCATGGTAGGCAACACCCCCCTCCAAGGGGCGGGAGAGAGGTGGCTCTTACCTGAGCTTTCACTGCCAGATGGAAGGCTCCATATTTAAAGGGCAACATGGAGCCGCCATGATTGCGAGTTCCTTCAGGGAAGATCAAGACGCTGAACTGCAGGAGGGAGAAGACAATGAGATGAAAGCACCTCCAGTTACTATCCTAAGCTGTTGCATACTCCCCTGGGACTAATCTGTCCACTCCTGATCATGCAGAGACATCCTCTTCCTCCACTTCAAGCACTTTAAGGACACACCAAACCCACCGGAGATGATTTTACTCTGCTCTGCCCAGTGCCCAGCCCAGAGCCAAGGATCCCTTTCCAACCACAGTAAGGTTCATGTTCTACAGTGGCTCCTCACCACAGTCCTCCCTACTCACATTTTCTTTGTGCAGAGAATGTGCCACTTCTGTCAACGTAGCAATGGACTCTTCCCTCTTCTTGCGGTCAATGAAAATGTATCCTGAAAGCCAGCATGCCGGGCCAAAAGTGCCCATGTATAGAATTTCCTTCTTTGCAATAGGCACACAGCGACCTTGTAATATCTCCATTATCACTGGAAAGGGAGAACAAGGACAGAACAAGTTGCCATCTGAACAGAGGTTTCCTCTAGATTCTGGGCTACAGCCCTCTGCTCTGGGGGATGCCGTGCCTGCAGCACCCATCCAGCGTCACAGCATCAGAAACAAGTTGGGAAAGGGATTCTGCGTGTCTCCAGACCAAACACTCACTTAGAGGACGACTATTGCCAACAATGAATAAGAGCAGCAATGACATGGCTGTGGTCACCTGACACTCTCACCCCATCCCACATGTAGATGGGATGCTTAGTGACAGGGTTTAGTGGTGGATCTGACATTGCTTGGTTTAGAGTTGGACTCAGTGACCTTAAAGGTCTTTTCCAACCCAAATGATTGCATGAGTCTATGATTCTCTTGGAAAGGATGATGTTAATTTAGCCTGAAAATACCTGTAATACCCTGAAGAAAGAACCTTGTCTCTAATAGCGTAGATCCCTAGCTTGGGGTTAGCTGGTAGTGGACTACGTAGCAGCCACTCCTGCCCCTCTGCCAGTGTTACGTGGGATTTTGTACTACCCTGCCCTACAGACAAGAGGGGCCAGAAGCAGGAGGCAGGCTTACCACATACCCATAACGTCAAGGGAGGTCTGGTGATTCATCACGAGGACGAAAGGTTTCTTAGTCCTGAGGATCTCCTTGCCCTTCACCACTATCTTGAGACCGAAGATGTATTTGAGTGGCAGGAGTGACATGCGCAAAAACCTGGAAAAAGGGAGAGGATATTAGCCAAAGAGACGTTGAAGTTGGGTAAAGGGACCAAACACAATTCTTCCAAACCAGCCCATACCATAGACTGCTCTTGCAGAGCAGCCTCTTTCTCTGCAGACACAGGTTTGACCCATGACTTGGGGAAGAAGAACTAGTGTGTCTCTTCAGCTCACCAATTCATTAGAGAAGACCCATACACCTATCAGGTTTTCTTAAGACCACAATAGACCAACAGCCCAGCAACTACAGCTGCAACAGTTCTGTGGATCAGACAAGTATTAGATAATGCCTGATCTCATATTGCACCTGTTTGTACTCTGCTCCACTGCAGACCTGGCTGAATCATCAGTGCGGGCTGCAGTAAACACACACGTACCTCTGCTCTTGCCCAGGCTGTGGGAAGAGTGGTGGATTTGTCTATAGGTGACATTAGCCTGCAAATCTGGATGTCATATTTTAACAGATAGTGGAAAAATAAATAAAATAATATGTCAGGCACAAAAGTCAAGAACCAAAGAAAATTTCTGAAAGCAAAAGGCTGATGAAAGCAAAAGGCTTAGAGATACCAACTCCTGCTGCAGCCTACAACAATGAAGTAGCAAAATCCTGCCTCTACACCACTTCGGGAGGCTGCTACAGGCGCTATGCTGCCGTGTCACAGAGCCAGCTTCTCCCCTCACCTCAAACCACACCCCAAGTCACTAACCCACCGGCTAACCCGGCTCCATGCAGCAACAACCAGGACCCTCCAAAACAGAGCATGAGTTGACTCTAACAATGCACAGAGCAAAAAGAAGCCACAGTGACTTACTTTGCATTTTCCATGTTGCGTCCACGAGGAATACTGATTATAATAACCAGAGCGCTCATGGTAAAGAGCCACAACTTATAGAAGGTCTTCTTGCAGAAGTATCTAAATGCAGGGTTCATCTGGTAGAAGACTAGAAACACGATGAACAGAAAAGTAAACAGGTAGTGAAGGGGCAAAAGCTTCATCCTTCCAGCCCAGAGTCAACCAGAGGAGTGTTGCACGGAGCAGCGAATGATTCACGAGTGCCCGGCGTTGTGGAGCAGAGTTGAGATTCCCTTGATCAGCTGCACGTGGGTGGCGCAAAGCTGGAATGAGACTCGGGAGCGACGCTTCAGCTGCTCGGAGCTGAACCAGCTCGGGAGAGCCGGTTTAGCAAGGGCACTCCAGCAGCAACGCATGCGGGAGCTGGCTGGCAAGCTGGGGCAAACACGGGCTAGCGAGGCTGCCGGTGCACAGCAGGTGTGTGGCTCTGGGCTGGTGGAGCAATGACTGCTTGGGAAGACAGCCCTCTCCTTGTGCGGGTCTCGGTGCATTGAAACACTTTTGAGAAAGTCCTTAATGAGAGGGAGCAGGATGTGTTGTACAGCAGACACCAAGCTGTCTTGCTCTCTGTGCAAGAACTGAACTTCCCCGAGGTGTAAGCTCACTGTAAGACATCCAGGAAATCAGGAATTACTATGATGGAGGAAAGAAAGAGAAAACTAGTGATGCTAGGAGCCAGCTCCTGCCCCACGCATCTAGGCATGGGGGGAACCAAACTGAGCAAGCGGACATTCCTCAAGTAGAGTGGGGAAAGTGGCAGAAGCATCATATGGTTAGACAAAAAGACAAACAAAGCAAGAGCAGTTATTCCTGTTGTTTTCATGGCCAGGGGCAGTAGACAGCATCCGCATATATCAGAAGTAAATCAAGGAAGTGTAAGTATAAGCTGGGAGTGCTCCAGCTGTATTTCATCATCTGAAACCACTACAAGGAAAGGATCTTCACAATAAGCACAATGACTGGGATGAAAACTGAAAGCTTAATCATGCATCGTCTGCACGACGGGTCTCACTGAAGCTGCTGTCACTTAAGAGGAGTGACAATATTAAATTCCAGCCAAGACTGAGAAAGGAATAGTCCGAGGACTCATGAAACTATATCGACTGTCTCCTGCAACATAAAGAATAAAATTAAGTCTCTGAGAACACGAAAATGGACAAGCCTCAGTAATATTTCAAACCCACGGATTCTGAAATCCTCAGCTATAATTTTCTTCTGTTGCAAGGATCCCTAGCACTTAGATCCAACATGCTTCTCTTTCAAAATCGGGAAGGTCTTGCCCAACCTGCAAGGTGTTTGCAGAAGCTACAGCTCTGAGGAAGCGCCTGGTTTCCAGACTAAGTGTATCCATGCTCAGTTGACTCCCTTTTGCCCCTGGCTCTGGTTTCGGAGCCTGGCTCAGTTTGAATGAATCTTAGAGAAAGGAGGGACTTTCTCATATCATGAGCTTTCATCTTGCAGCTTTAAAGACTCTCCTACTCACCAACATGTTGGTGACTCACTGAGCCACACGTTGGCCAGAAAAGAGAGGTGGAGGCAGGGAAGGTGGTCCAATCTAGTGGGAAAATCTAAGAAAATTGTTTTGCTCACAGTAAGATGAAGGCTCGGAAGAGAACAGACTGTTGTCAATACAGCAGCGCTAGAGAAGAGAGGAATTGCTTGAGGTAAAGACAGCAATTGAGTTCTAAATGCAAAAGCAGTGATATCAGGAAGAAATAAGAAGATTGGCTTCCAAAATGTGAGCAACTCCCATGGGAAAATGCTGGCACAAGCATGGACCATGTTCCCCATCTCAGTGTCTCCACCAGCCAGGGCAGGCACGGTCCGGTCAGTCCTACTGCGACTGCCTCCATCCCACTGTATGTGCGTTTCATGGGTTTGATTGGGCTGTTTGATCAAGTTGATAAGCTAGATTAAATTTTCTAACTTTCAGCCTTGTCCTTGGCTGAAATTGGAAAAGCAGGCTTAGCGCACACAGAAAGATCGTGGGTGGTTTTAAGCCAGTTCCTTCCTTCCCCCTTAAGTTAATTGCTGAAATCAAAAGGTGATGAGTGAGACCTTCTCTGTGGCCAAGGGGCTGAACAGATGCTGGAGGTGCAGGTTTCAGAGGACAACTAGCACTAGAAACAGAAAGCTAGAGACACTGAGACGTCCCCTCTGTCGTCAGGCATCTCACACCCATTGACTCCCTTGCAGCTCTCGGCACAGGGATTTTAATTGAGAAACAGTGGGCTTTAGCCCACTCCAGGGCATGTTTGCACATTTTGTGCCTTCAAAAACATGCCTGGGCTCGTGTTTACCAGCCCACACACTCGGGGCGTTACGCAGCCCTGGTGCTGGCAGAAGTCAGTGTCTGCGCCTCGTCTTTTTCTCCAAGGATCTCACAGAGCCTCTTCCCATTTTGGGGGTGATAAGGAGGAGATGACTGTGAAGTGGTGGGACCACATCCTATGCTGGCCCTTCCTCTGAGGAGTACGTTAGAGTGTCGTGTGGCACAGGAGCATGGATGAGAGATTACAGGAAGAAACATCTTCTTTCATTAAAAATATGCAAGTTCCTGAGTTGACTTTGTCCAATATTCCCGTCGTTCACCTTTTACAAAGTGTGAGGAACGTTTTTGCCTCAGCTCAAAATTGCGATTTATTGATCACTAACAATAACATAGCAGATTTCAGAGGAAGGAGAAAGTGGTCTCTTTCAAGAAAGATTTCTTTCCTATCTTTCCAGAAAAGATATGGAGTAAAACTAGATTAACCTTCACTTATCTTCACTAGGACACATACTCTCTGCTCCACAGCCAAGGGGTAAGCCAGTCTAGCTAATGCCAGGCTGCAGGAATAACTTGTTAACAGATTTCTGTCACACTATATGATTCCTTAAGCATTCATATATAAGGGCAAAAAATGCTGAGAAAACATCTTTTCTCCATGTGGTCAATTCCTTCATTCCATATTCAAGCAAAACCTGAAACAGGACATTTTAATCAAGTCTATGCCGGGAGCCTGACAGCTAGTTCTGCTCCACTGAAATACCCTGGGAAATTAGTAGATTTTCTCTAGAAACAGAAGTATTTACTGTTTTAGAAGAAAAGCGATTGGAGAGCAAGAATATGTGGTCATTCCAATGCCCTAATATATTTCTATGTGGGTTGGAAACTTTGAAAGGAGGGTCCAAACTACGTTTTTGACAATAAACCTTACTGAAACAGGGGGCATGTGAAATTGCCTCAGCGAGCAGCTGGTTTGACCATGATTCAGTCTCTGGATAAGTCAGTTCGCTTTGGGATATTGATTGATTTGCACAGATCTGGGACATCTTTTCATGAAGTTCTTTTATCACTGGTCTCCATCTCACTGAAAAAGCTTCATGCAAACTAGATCAAGCAAATAACAGTGACCATGGGCAGACATTTCAGGCAGTAAAAGCAGAGACACAGTGAAAAATAATCATCTATCTCAGCAGCTTCCCACGTCGGGTCTTCTGGATGCTCCTCAATCTTCAGCATTAAAGGAGGAGATGATTAAAAGTCACCAAAAGATGCTTCTACAGAACATAAAAAGCAACATGTTAATAAAAGAGAAAAAAATACATTAAGATAACAACTGTTATCTTGTGTGATTTATTTCCACAGCTTAAACTGGAAAAGCAGGGACTGATAACTCTGGTATCAGTTTCAACTGCTCTAAAGACCTCTGGGATCCCTCCTTGATTACAAGGTACTACAGGTCTCCCTTTCTCTGGCACCATGAAAATGGCATTTATGGCTGTGTTCTTTCCTAGAAGAAATCAAACACTGCAATTCCTTCCATGAAGCGTAAATCTCTATTCAAAGTGTGGAGCTGCTTCTGGCCTGACTGGGACGTGCTGACAGCTTGCTCGGAGCTGTGCAAAAGACAAACAAACCACCTAGACAGAGGGACCAGCCTCCCTGAGCCAGGCATCACTTCTGATGCAGAAAAGCAGGGGCATAAAGAGCAGAGAGCTAAACTGAAAAGTCCATTTAACCAGAAAAATCCCAGAGCAATGCACTTAGCTTGGTCTTGGGGTGCTGATGCAGGAAAATCTGCAGGAGCTCCCCGCAGTGGACCTGGTGAAAGGGAGTATCTGAACATGTGCCAAGTATGTAGCTGGCACGTGTGTTCAGACCTGCGTGAGGCAGCTCTGCCTGAGAGCTGCAGGGTCTGGTTGTCTCACGGGTTTGCAGGCAGGCACTGTCTGCTCTTGGAAGCTTATACCTTGCTCTGTAACGTCCTCGGTGCTCTTTGTCCTCCAGGCTCTGAGGTCCAGCTTTGGGATGTAGTTGCATCTCACAAAGCCATAAGGGTACCTGTTAGCGTGGAAGATATGTCTTGAAACTTTAGAGATGTGGGTGTTGTCACATATTATTCGCGACAAGGAGATTTTAGCCAGGGCAAAGCGCTGCTGAGGAGTGAAAACATCTTTGTTCTCCCACCAAAACCTGCAGAAGAAAGCAGAAGACACAACAGATTTTTGCTTTCTGACTTCTTCACATTCAAGACTCCTGCAACTTTATTTCCCATTAATACCAATAACGCGTTTCTTTTGCCAAGAACAAATTTAGATTGCTGTTACTTAAACCAAGAGCCCTGACTCACCAGCTGGAGAATTTAACCTGCTTATCTGCCACGGACATATAATAAACATGTAATTGAATTAAAGCCTTGCCCTGTGTTCCCTCAAATGAGGCACAGGTACCCTCTCTCAGGTAGAAAAATCTGCACACACTGTACACAGATACGATAGACATGCTGGAATCAGCCTTGTAATTATTCTCTTTCTTTTTTTTTTTTTTAAAAAAAAAAAGGGTTCTTGTATCCTGCCATAAGAACAGGCTGAACACCCAGCTCCTCTCTTACCTGTCCCCATCACGAATGTTCCTGAACTGGGTGCCAATGAGACAAGCCATGAGAGGTCCAACTCTGCCTCCCTCCACAAAGGGCTCTGCAAGTGCCCCAATCCAAATGTCGATATTTTTCGGTGTCCCGTACAGCTCTATGAACTTCTTCGCCAGACCGTGATTCTTCAGCACCTCAGCAAGTTCATTTAATCCGGAGGGTTGTGAGAGCCCACAGAATTTTCTCCAGGAGTTATAACCTGCAGGTAGAACAAACAGATCAGCAATGTGTTTCGCCCTCCTGGAAAGAATTTTTTCCTCTCTTTCCAAAAGGGAGGATCCCAATATGTTTAAAGCGTATTTTCTCTATTTCTGTTAATGCCATTGACGTTCCACTCGTCTGGAGCCAGTTTATCCCAGCTGGCATTTCAGTGCTATTTCTGGAAGGGCTGTGTCTTTGCAAGTCATCTCGGCCCGTGGGAGTTGCTCCACCACCTTTTGCTGTGGAGAGGCAGGTCCCTGTGTATGGGCTTCAGAGCCATCGTGTGCTTGAACCAACCTCCTGGCGATGTGACCGAGGACCTACGGGAGACCCACGCCCTGCTGAAGCTACAGCAGAGAGTCAAAGAAGCGACCCTGGGGCATTTCAAATAGCAAAGGGGACCTGAGTTGAGGCACCCCATCCCACATATGCTGTGACTGCTCCTACCCTGGACTGTGGGTGCTCAGATGAAGGGTCTGGGTGTGCCTAATGGCATCTTCAGTGAACTATACAGTGCAGAGATGATGCTGCAGCACATTCCTCTGCTGTGAGATGTCTCAAAACTAGGGAGAATTCAGAGAAAAAGATACAGCGTATGGTGCCTGGATGACACCACTATCAAACAATTCAAGGAATTTGCTTTATCAGAAAAAGAATCGGAGTTTTTTTGATCTTGCTATACTGCCATCACCTTCATAGGTTGTCTAACATCAAGGAGAAGAGTAGCACTCAGGGGTGGGCTGAGAACCAAAGGCAGGGAGCTAAACACAAATTCATACTAGAAATACATGTCAGTTCCACTGCAACAGACCAGAAGTCAAATCTATAAATTCAGGATTTGGGGTTCAGATCAGGTTCTGCACAGTAGCATTCCTAGATAAAGCACAGAAGGATCCAAACCTTCTGTTGCAGCAAAGGCAGAGCAATCCTGTGACGTGACCAAACACCTGGCTGTATTGCAAAGACTCTGCCTGGGTTAAAACCTGTGAATCCAGCACAATTTTCATCACAGTTTCACCATAATCTCCCAGGATGTTACTGAGACAGCAGCTCCAGGCACTTGCGTCAGCCTCATAACACTGTTGGGCAACGACACACCCATAAGCCTGCTGCAGAGTCCTATCAACAACCTGTTTCTCAAGACCCTCTTGCAATGTAAACCAATTACACTGGTTTTGCTTCTTGCAGAGCCCCGAGAGTTCTGACATGCTTGCTTTTTTGTTTTGGGACACCGTCTTTATAGAGAAATTACAACATATTGCAACACACTCTTCCAGTCCCGTGTGGCTGGGCTGGACCACTACAGATGCTTGGGGAGAAACCGTGGGGGATTTCTGGCCCTAATTCCACTCCTGCAAGCTTGTCACTGAACTAGTTCCCCGACTTTTGCCATTTGAACAGCAATACAAATGAGCCAGTTACTGAACACTTGACTCTGGTCTGTGCAATGCCCCATGCTCTTCTGGCCACGTGCCTCCATGTGTCTGCTCCAGCTCCACCCAGGCTCCGACTTCATTGCTCAACCTCCCATCCACTTACCTATAGTTGCACGGAAACGACGAAAAGTTTTGGGAAGGAATAATTTCAGCCAAGCACGAGCTGGAGATGTTTCTCAAGGTTCCAGCACAAGAGTGCCTGATTCCCACCTGGTTTTCTTCAGAAGCTCTGCTCCCACAGCCAACTCACCCGCGAGGCCGTGATCTCTGCCACGCTGCATGTTGAGTGCGGGCAAATCGAACCCAATCCTTTCGATCTGCTCAAACATCCGATCCCGGAGCTCATCCACGACCATTTGCTGCTGTGTCATCAGCTTGGCCTGATTGGCCATCAGGCTCCGGAGGAAGGGGTCGATGCCACCTGCAACGGTCACACAGGGATTTGGGAGCAGTGCAGGGTGGCAAGGGTGCATGTAGGAGCCACGGGAGAGCGGAACGCAGCTTACATTTGAGTGTAAGCTTCTACTACAAGAGAATCAATTTTCCTGCACTTAAAGAATTAAAAAGAAAACACTCTAGATAACATTCTTAGACTCTACAGCAATCAAGCAGTCAGACTGCATGCTTCGCAGGGAGATGGGCTGCATTTGGCTGCAGAACAGCCACGCGAGGAAAAAGTCTGGCTGGTAGGAAAGGCCATTTAATATATTTACTGCAGACTGCTTTTAAGTTGGGCTGAAGCAGGAGGTCATGCAGAGAGGGCAGAAAAGGCTGAATGAAATGAAATTACATCACAGAGGTGCAAGAAAGGCTTTACCTTCTTTAAGAATCCTCCAGACAGCAAAGAAGCTGTTTCTGAGTTGAATTTTGGGACCGATGGTCTTGAAATTTCGATCTAAGCGGTCAACAGTTGGGGGAACTGAAGCATGAGCAAACCGAAAAGCCAGGGTGAAGACATTGGATATTCGAGGATCCATGGCCTCACTGTAGCCTTGGTAGGGAGGAATCAGCCTCCTGAAGTGGGTTCCCAAGAGAAGAGGCAGGTAGTCCCTGTAAGTTATAATCTAGGGGGGAACACAGGGAATGTGAATAGTTCATTGCTTGACCATCAGTTTCTTTGAAAACAAAGTTATTGTTCACATATTAAGCAGCAGAAAAGAAAGAAAAAGTCAACAGTGTTGGCACAGATGGTATCACCACCCACAGGCAGCTGTGTTAGTCCTCCCATGCTAGAGATTTCCAACCCTGATCTCATATCTCTTTGGGATATTGAGGAGGCTGCACAATATGATTAAAAAGGTGGAAATGTCTTAAACATTTGAAAATTGCAAGAAGATAAAACTATCGATCTAAACACAGCGATGGAGACAGTGCTTTTAGTGAAATTGCTTGATTCTCTCCACATTGGCTTACGCAACATGTTTATGCAATAATACTATAATATTTAAATTGCCAGTTTCAAACATTTAAATCTTTTGATATTCTTGTCTTTTGTTTGTTTGTTTGTTGAGCCAGCTCAGAAGACAGGTTTCCAACTAGGTATGACTAAACACTGCCTTTGGACAACCCTCATCTTCTTCTCTCCTAAGAGCTGGTGTTTTCTGTTGCCTACGAATCCTCATCTGGCTTTGAAGCTGGTCCTGCTGCAAACCAGAGCTGGACAAGAGACCTTGAGAGGTCCCTTCCAAGCACAGAAATATTTCTGTGTGCCTAGGATCTCATTCTGGGCAAAGTCTGTGGTGCAGCACAGTCCCAAGGGGCTCTTTGCCCCAAAGCAGTAAGGACAGAGGAATTCCATGGCTGGTTGCACCCACCAGCACACGGGGCTTCTTAAGAGAAGGAGACTCACAACCCAGGGGAATTTTAATCTAAATCTCCACTACCTTTTTTATCCTGTACCAAATACTGGTTAGAGAAACTTTTCCTCTGACTTTTCCGTCCCGATGTTTCCCAAACAAAAATGTGCAGTTCAAAACCCACCAAGCAATTTGGAAATTGAACAGTGGAGGGACATCAAAGATTCAGGGGGACCCCTCGGTGCTAGCTCTTTCAGGTGTCTCTGTGTGATTTACTTTTGACAATAGAGGCCGGCGGAAAGAATTTGGTGACTTGCACCCCAAATCACTGCACCCATCACATTAATTCTGAGTGCGACAAGGCAGCAGGGCCAGGTCACACAACACAGTGACTGGTACCTGGATCATGGCGCCCAGGATCTTTCGTGCCTCCTGGTAGATCTTCTCTCCATTCCAGTGGGGATTTAGTGTCTTCAGCTCCCTCGCCAGGCGGTTGTGCTCCCGCACAAAGAGCGTGTGCATACACGCCAGCTCCAGCATCTCGCTTGCTCGAGAGTCACCTAGGAGTGTCACAGATACCCAGGAATGTCACAAGCGAGTGCTGCCAGTGACCTGTCACAAAAAGTTGTTAGATGCCTCTCAATATCTGCATTGTGAAGAAGATGGGTAAGGAACATACAGGAGGAGAAGGAAACCAGGGTGTGGGTCCCAAGGGTTGGAGAGCATTGGTGAAAAGCCAAATATCTGCTGAGGCAGCAAAAGCCAAGGTGTCATTGTGGTTGTGCTCAGCATCATAGAAATTGGAGAGATCTTTGGTTTGTGCTTTTTTTATTCTTCAAATAAGCTAATATTCCTAGCCCTTAGGAAGCTAAATACAGGTAGGTACTCTTCAGGCTCCCGTATCAGAGAGACACTGGGGAGATTTTTGGTTTGTGGTTTTTTTTATTTTTCAAATAAGCTAATATTCCTAGCCCTTAAGAAGCTAAATACAAGTAGGTACTCTCCAGGCTCCCATATCAGAGAGACAGTCGCACAGTTCAAGAGTAGATGAAGATGGGCAGAGAGGAGTCAGGATGGCCAAGGGAGCTCTGAAAGGCAGAAAGTGTCCTTCAAACCAGCTGAAACTACGGCCAAAGCGAGATGACAGTCACAATCGAGCTCTCTGGTGGGGAAAAGCAAAAGCAAAATGAGTCACAACTTGAAGGAATAAATTACAAACTGCATCACAATGAAATACGAAATCCTTCAAATTCCAGAGCAGGAATCTGAAGAGCAAGCAGGTGATGAGAGTATAAAGAGGCACTCAGAGAAAAGTAAATCTGTCTTATTTATTCCCCAAGTCCCGTAGTAAACAGAAGGATTTGCTCTCGCACTCAGCACAGAGCCCTTTTCATCTACTGTCAAAGGCTGCCTGTGAGAGACTGCGGAAGAGGGAACAAAAGCAGCACTGTGAGGTTCCCTTGAGCAGAATGCATCCACCCAGGGCTCCCAACAGAGCTTCAGTAGGAAATGGCTGAGCCCTGTTAGACACGTAGAATTTCCCCAGTTCTCAGGGACCGGAAAAGTCACAAATAAGACACTGAATTTTCGAAGGAGCTTCTGAGCCAGCCCGAACAGTTCACTATCAGTCCATTGATGGCCGTGTACCCAGGTAGGGAACAGCAACCGCTCCAGCAGCCCCTGGCTGCAGAGCCCTGGGGGCTGGGAGCCCACCCAGGGAAGCATCTGAGATGCCTGCTTGTTCTGCTCCTCACATGCATCTGCCTTCGGCTGTGGATCCTGCGTGGTTCTCACCAAGAAGAGACCTGCATGGACCTGGGGAAGCAGCTGAAGACATGGCACAATAAATGGGACAGATGAGGAGGTGTGAGGGCATGAAGGAAACATAAACCACCACAAGAGCTTAAAAGCAAATTGCTGGAGGATGGCACCAAGCACAGCTCTCCTGCTGGTCCCACCAGCAGGTCCTGATGGGATCCAAGGACCATGAGGACATTGCCCAGAGGAGCTTGGACCAGAAATGTAGGAGGCCAAGGGAGTAGAAATCAGCTCCACAGCTGATGAGATCTGTTGTGCCCTCAACCTTCCTCTGGCAGTACCGTGAGCAACCCGGTGTGGCCAGAGCAAGCCGGAGTTGGCCAGGTGGTCCTGTTTGCCAAAAGGAAAGGACTAGGCAGTGGTACACTAACTCACAAGCTGTACTAGAAAGGACCCTCTCTAGGGTCCTGCAAGCTTGTGGCATCATCCTGGTGCCCATCAGGAGGGGCCAGGGAGAAGGGAGCAATGCTCCAGGAGACTCACACGTTACACCAGAGCTGCTTGAGCACAGACAGGACAGCTTCACTCCAGGCATAAAGTCACAAAGAAGAGCTGAAGGTGGTGAAGACCTTTCTCCTACCTAGCACAGCCTACCTCAGTCCCTCATGATACTTTTCTATGCTCCATTTTCTACTTAAACAAGAAAACAATCGAAGAAATGAACCACGGCTGGTGGAACCGTCTGCTCTGGATTTCAGGGTTAGGGATGCCAGCACCCAACTTACCTGCAAGAAAGCAAGGGATTTTAGCTCCCTTGCTGACTATAAGACAGGGGTCCTTCGGCATGCTGATGAAGGGCATGTACTCCTTTCCCCTGTCAGTGAAATACTGGTTAACAGCCAGCAAGCCCAGCTGGTTGCTGTGATCCCTCAGTTTGTGGGCCAAAGGCACTTCGCTGCCGTACACCACGCTGCCGTCCAGAAAGGAGGTGAGCGCGTTGATCTGGTCTCGGATTGCTCTGCCACTGGTGCAGACAGCAGCTGAGCGGAAGAAAGGAAGGCAATCTTTTGTGTTCTTAATTCGTGGGTCATTGGGTGGGATCTGCAGAAAGATAGAAGAGGAATTCATCAGGAACTGCCCTGTGGTACCACAGCTCTAAGAAAAGCTAGGCAGGAGCCATTTCAAAGACAGTCCCCATGCTAGACAGCATGGAAATCGGTCATAAATCCCAGATATGAGGGGGTCAGATTGACAGCGGAGATGCTGTTTTAGGGGTCCAAGTCCCAGATACACAAGAAAGCCTGGAGATGTCTAAATTTCAAAACTGTCCTATGGATATCTAAAATTTTCCCCAGAATATATCTATATCTACATCTATATCTACATACATCTACATCTACATCTACATCTATGTGTATATCTATATCTATATCTATATCATCTATATCTAATCTATGTCTATGTCTATATCTATCTCTATCTCTCTATCTATCTATCTATCTATCTTCCTGCATCAGACTGAATCTTTAAAGTACAGGTGTTTCTATCTCATTTTGGAGTCTAGTGTCCGTATCTACATGGTGGACATTTGTCATCTAGAACTTGCGACCCTGCCTGCACCCTCAAAGGCAGATTGGGCAAACAGTGACATTCCATCCCTTCACAGTTTTCCTTGGAAGGAAATTCAGGTACACAGAGAGCCAGAGCTGCAGTACATCTGCACAGGCAGAGAGCAGGGCTGCAGGGTGGCCACATACATCGCTAGGAATTTGCTGGAGCGGAGATTGCAATGTGGCCATCGCGCTAATGCTCATCACCTCCTCTCCCCACGCACCACTTAACCATCAAACAAGCACGGATTTGCTAGGGTATTAACACCCATCAGCTCCTCTCTCTGACACGTTTACAATAATCCAGGCACAACCCATGCTGCCTTAGCACCATAGTCCCAAAGCAAAGCCGTATCACGGTGGGAGGTGGGTAAATGGTTGGAAATGGGGCAAAGAGAGGCAGTGGCTGTGCCTGACATCTGGGGACAGCCCCTGGGACTCAGCACAGCCACCTTACAGAGAGTTGTTCGACCCTCTCAGCCTTCTCTGGGAGGACATCCCTCTGTGGCCAAGGACTGGGAGAACCATCAACATCTCCTGGTTGGAAGATGGATTCCCTCTCCCCCTCTTCCCTGCCAGGAGGCGGCTGGCTGTACCTGGATGGGAAAGCAAGGGGGCTGCTTGGCACAGCTGGTCTCACAGTCCGTCTCGCCACTGAAGGTGACTCTGGTCGGGGTGTCTGGACTGAAATCCAGGTCGTGGTCAATAAACTGGCCCCACTGCATGAACATGAGTGATCTCTGCTGGTCCATCCTCAGCTGCTCCGGGGGGAAGCGGACAATCTCGTTTGAGACTTTTCGAACCTGGAGGGATGAAGGCAGGACACAGGCATTGGGAAATGAGTTGTATGAATGGGTGCATCTGTTCACAGGGTCATCAGCAAAAATTCACAAGGCATTGCTTATACTGCAAAGAAAAAAGAGTCTCCATGTGAAGTGGAAGGCATTGCTGAGTGTCCCCGTTTCTGAGCATTGCATTGTTCTGGCTCTGGCCAAATTTCAGAGCCTCTAGGCCAAGAGTATCCCTTGATGGATATATGGAAGAGGCTAAACAAGATCCATACCAAATAGCCTGGTAAAGAGAGGCAAGAGATTTTGAAAGACCACTTTGAAATAGAAGTGTGAAAAAAAATTGTCTCTGGGAATTTCTGAAAGTTATCTCAGTAAACTCCTTCTAGCAGGACACATTCCCAAACCCCTTTTCCCTTCTCATCCCTTCTCCATCCATCATGATTTCCTCACCAGTTCTTCATTCACATATTACTACAGAAAATGTGATCAAAACTCTGCTCGAGCCCTGACAGTGTGCTGTACAGTGGAGTTGGGAAGTACAATGAAAGCACAAGTGTAAGGCACGCAGAAACCCAGAAAATTGCATTGCTCCTCAGCAGTGCTGCTGTCGCACCAAGTCCAAATGGCCAGAGACCCCATCGCAGTGTCCCAGCTCCCATCCAGGTGTCTCCAGAACCACACATGCCCCCACAGATCACCCCACCCACGGATCCCCCCACAGAATGTCCAGCTGTATTCTGGGGATTCACTTGTTCATTCTATCCTTTGGTGTATTTCTTTTAGGGAGACAACCAGCTTCCACCAGTCAAATCAGAAAAGGTGAGTAAATTACTTGGGCTTCATTTAAAAGAACATATTGTGTAATTCTTTCTTTCTCTCACGCTTCTGCAGCAATCAGCTTAATTTTCCTTTGATATTTGTGAAAGCACAGGAGTGCAAAGTCATTACTGTTAGACCATCCTGCAGATTCTCATGTCATCAGCCCACAGTTGGGGAATTTAATCAACTCCTCCTGATCACCACCATGCCAGTTGGTGCTCGTGCATTTTGACACCTGGGATTTATCAAAGGGCAGGCAGTCCCTAAGCCCTGATACTGCATTTTCAGACAAGTGTTAGAAACATTACCAGTGGAAAGGGGAATCCTGAGAAACGCTTCCCTTCTGTCCACCCGCGGGGCAGTGACACACCGTCCTCGTATTCCGCTGGCAGCCATCTGACCAGGGCTCTGTTTGAAGCTCCTAGTGATGGCTTTCTCCTGTTGGTGTGAACGGCAGAACAGCAAATGTCGTTAGGATCATGGCAGGGCCTTGCACAAAGGGGCAGAGCCAGACAAAACTCAGGAAAAAGTAGGAAGATGCAGCTTGATGACAGAGACTCTGGGCTGGAGATCCAGGCCCCATCACAGAGCTATTTGGCCAAAGAGCTATGTCCTGTATAACAGAAAGAACCCTTGAAGAAAGACTGTAATTAAAAGCTTCACACATCTAGAAAACAACACTGTAGGGTGTAAAATCCTAAAGAAGGCATCCCACATGGATCATGCTGGGAGATGCGGGTCTGGTTCTACTGATGGAGGATCCATCCATCCATCCATCCTCCTGCTGACACAGCCCCCTCACCTGTTGTTGCACTCGCCAGTGATCGTTCGGTAGCTGTGAGAAATGCCACAATTTATTTTCTTATCTTGCTGGTCACATCCGCTGGCCTTGAAAATCACCCCCAGCTGAGCCGGCGTCAGCAGGTCTGCCAGGTAATAACAAAGAAGAAACGTGCAGGAACATACTGGTCCTGCTGGGTTTGTGGTCCCTCCCAGGAATAAGTTTTCTTTTTCTGATGGTGCTCCGTAGAGCAGCAGATTTCTGTTTCTGGTGTGGAATGCATTAAAGCCAACAAAGTTGTGGTGAAATCTTAGTTACAACTACACGTGAGCCCTGTGCAGCAGCAGAATGATTTTCTAGCATTAACAATCTTTTTTCCTTCCTATGTGTGCCTTTTTTTATCTCCACCATAAATTGCTAACAGCTACAGCCACCCTAGAGACACATTACAAGTTTCTCCCGCTGGGAAGCAGCCGCCAGTGCGTATCACCGCTGTTCAGAGCCGCCTGGAGAAGAAACCATCAGGAATCTGGGCGGCACAAGGGGATGCTGCCTTCACATTTCCACCTTGCAAGGTTTCCCCACGGACGGCAGGTGAGTGGCCGAAGTTCAGCTGGCAAAGCCCTCTTGGCTGTTGCTGCCAGCACTGCACAACCCGCGTCCTTTGGAGGTTTCCTTGTCGCTGCTGCCACCTCCAGTTCAGGTCACAGCACGGTTGAAGAAGCCGCTGCTGCCTCCTGGGCAGGGATGAGAGGGGGCAGCTGGGTGGTCTGGCAGGAACTTCGCTCCTGGATGGGGAGGCTGGAGCTGGGAGTCAGCCTCGCCTCCCTCTTCCCCCTCACCCCGTGCTGGAGCGACGCAGGAGCAGCCCATGAGGTGTGTCTTGACCTGCCAGTGCTTTGCTGTGTTGCTGGGGACCCCCATACGTCCATCCTTCTACAGCAGGAGCCCTCCTTAAGCCTCCCTGAAATGTTTTATTGCCCCTCATTTGCCTCCTGCTCTTGCCGGGAGGCCAGGACTGCCACCTCATGGAGGACATGGCTCCTTCAGGACACATGCTGGAGCGTCCTTTCACACTGCTCTGTTCTCTCATTCCCTGCTTGTGCCTTCCTCACACCATCCTGTTCCCAATGCAGAACCATCTGGCAGCGACTTTGACTATTGCTGACTGAAGCCTGGCAGAAAAACTACCTACCTTGGGGCTGAGCTACTGCGAGTCACATCCTCTCTGTCTGCTCCTGCCCTATTCAGGCAGAAGAACACTTTCAGACAGAGTCTTACAAGCTTTGCCCCACTGGTCCATTAAGGGCTATATTGCAGAAAGAACCACGGGAGCAGACAAAGCACTTTCATTAACTGATAACCCCCCCAAACAATTTTTTGACGTTGAGAGAGAGCACAGAAAAATAACTCAGTTTTACCTCACTGCAGTCGTGTGGAAGGGATTTGAGCCATAGCCCCTCACAACCCCCTTTCATTCCCTCCTCCCAAGCCCCATGAAGCCCCAGTGACCAAGCCCTGTGTCTTCCTCCTCCTTCTCCTGCCTTCCTCCCAGCAAAGCAGGATCCCTACCTGTGACATTGAAGTCTCCCCTCACAGTCCCTCGCAGCTTCTCCTTGAGCAGGGTCAGGGTGGTTCCCATGTAATCTGCAGCCCGAGCAGCAGCCCGAGTCCCCGCCACCGGCTGTTTGAAATATCCTAGAAGTTCTGTTGGGGTCACGGCACCAGCCTGCAGGCGTTCCTTTATGCTGCAAGGTAGAATAAAACAAAATCTGCAAGTCTGAAACGGGGCAAAGCCTGGAGTCCTGCAGGTTACAGACCTGAGCCTTGGGCACCCCAGCTCTCCTTGTGTACTTCTATTCCGAACTGCAGAGTCACCCACCTCCTCTGAAAGAGACCTGGGCTGCTCCTGTCAGTCTTGGCAGAGGAGCAGAGTGAGTTGCAGGAAGGGATTCTCTTAAATTGCCCAGCTCCACCAGCCAGAAGACAAATCTTAGGTCTTTACAACTTCGAGGCAATCAAACCTCACTCAGCTGTTACCCAGCTCGCCAATGTCTGCAGGTGCCTGTCTCCATCCAGAGATCCCAAACACCTCCAAGTCACCCTGTCGTAATGCTGCTGGAGCCTCCTCTCTGACAGACGCATCCCTCAGCCAGAAGGGTTTCAGAGGATGGCTACTGAAGAAGGATGTGTATGGGCTGGTAAGGAGCTGTATGCTCCCAAATCATGGTGTAAAAAGCTAGGCTCTTCCGTTAGATCCCAAAAAACATCCCCACTGCAGCCTACAGGGGTTTGCTGCCTCTGTAGGAGAGAACCACTAGAAATGAGCAGGAGCCTGTGCTGCCTCCAGTCCTCCCTAGAGCATCCCTGAGGGATGAAGCAGAGCCAGGCAATACTGAGCCGGAACAAGCGTCATGTGTAGAGGAGAACAGAGTTAAGGTTCTTAGTCACCCAACAAACCAGAGACGGGGTGTAAAAACAGGGTGAAGGCAGGCAAAGCTCCGGGTTACAGCCCACTGTGCTCCCGGAGGACCTCCTGCCCTCGCCTGCTCTGCCAGAGGGAGGAGGAAAAGCCGGCGACGGGTGCAGCGTGACGCAGGGCGTGCAGCGCGTGCCAGCAGCCCAGCCCAGCCCTGGCTCTCACCGGTCGCGTGTGCGCTTGTAGGCTGCATCCACCAGCTGCTTGGCTTGGTCCACGGTGCTCAGGAGGGATGTGTCCGACAGCTCCTCCAGCAGATCTGGGTGAGGGAAAGAAAAGAGCAGAGGTGAGAGCGCTGTCTCCCACCTGGGAACATGCCTGCGCTGCAATGGAGGTTGCTTCGTGCTTCCAGCGCCCAGGGATATGGGCACGGCAGCGCTGGAATTAATTGCTGCTGCTTCTCTCTCTCTTAAGGTATCTGTATATACAAACGTTCCTCAGGGGAGTCTGAGAGAGTCACTCCTGGGTATGGTAAGGGTATCTCCATCAGTGGAGTCTTCAACTAGCCACCGTAAGACATGTAGGCATCATCCCTCCTGCTGTCTCGCAGGAAAGCAGTTGTTATTTCTTCAAGACATTTTGCAACCCCAATTAATGTGATTCATCTTATTTCTATGCCTCCACCCATGGTTGCACTCAGACAGCCTGCATGGATACTGCTGGCTGCTGTGACAAGTAGGAAGAGCCCAGCATTAAGAGTTCTCGTCTGATGTTTTTCTCATCACTGCCTTTTCTCCTCCAGTTTTTATCCTAGGTTTGTTAGAGCCACATTGCAAATACACATATAGTGAATTTGGGTCCTTCCCCGTGGCACTGAATGGCCAAACCCCATGTATATCCCCTTGCACCTCAAAGCAGAAGGGGACACAGCCTGATTAGCCCCCCTGCTTTCTCCAGTCCATCCTGCAACCTCCTGCCACCCTCCCTGCTGCCCTGGGGAGCTCCCCAAAACGAATCGCATCCCCATCATCTGCTGGCTGCAGGTTACAGCGCAGGAGGAGACTGCCCCTGGTGGGCTTCTCAGAGTGGGAGCATCTTCCTGCAGCATCTAGGGAAGAAGAAAACTTCAGAAATCTGCACAAAGGGGATAAATATACCAAATTTCTCCACAAATTCTTTAAAATACCTTCCCTGATCAACCTAGAAGTCACCTTAAACTTGGTGAGAAAAATTATTGCCTGGACCACCATTTGAAACAAACAATAGGTCAGGTATGTGCCCTTCATAAAGATCTTACATTGTAAATTAACAGGCAGAGGTCTCTATATGCTTTGGAGCAGTGATTCAGGGCTGGATGAGAGCTGAGTGACTGCCCCATCCCCAGCATCCACAGCCCCTGGCAGCTCAAATTCACCAAACACTGCAGCAGCTGGAGCGAGTTCACTTTAAAAAGAGATAATAATTCATTCCTCACTTTGAGAGCAGGAGCCAGCCCTCCCGAGAAGAGGGGAGTTGACTTTTCAGCCTTTGTCAAAGACAGCACGAATGCAGCAAGGGAGCTGAGCTCTGCACAGCACGTGGTAGGGGTGGGAGACCGTTTGTACCGTGGGGATGGAGCGGTTCCGAGAACTGAGCTCTGCTTTAACAGGAATGTAAGAAATCAGACAGGATGTTAACTGATAAAAATATGACACAGCCAGGATTGCTGCCACAGTAGATACAAACCCACTACACTCCTTATGACACCTCTTCAGGACTTTGCTGCCTGCAGTAGAATAATTCAGGCTCTTTCAGACTTAACTTTATCTTTCCTACTCAGAAAAAGCCCCTGAGCTGCAAAACCTGAGAAAATGGCAATACCATAAGAAGAAGATACAGATGCCTGGAACAGGCTGAGGATCACCAGCAACCCCAGGAAGATTTCTGCCTTCATCCCTGCAAAGAAAAACAAGAAGTGAAGAAACCCAAGAATCCATGGATCTCACCATGCACTGGAAAGGTCAGTGCCCTCGCTGCTGATGGTGTTTTAGAGGAGCTCATGAGGTGCCCCCTTCCCAATGCAATGCACCCCAACAGCCAGTGTGCTGCTGGGAGGTCCTTGCCAGTGGTACATGGAAAAGGAGCTGCCTCCTGTCTCAGGGACCACAGGTGATGGTGGGAATACGCTGCTTTGGGGCTATGGGGACAACACAAAAGGGAGCAGGACACAGGACACGCTGCCAGTGCTGCAGGCAGGCAGCTTGCTGGGGAGCCTGGGCAGCAACACTGAGCGGGCAGGGAGGGGTTAGAATAGACAGAGGGGAAGAGGGATCAGCCAGGGAGGTCCTCCACACACAGTCGCTTAGAATGGTTTTGCCCAAAGCTGACCCACTCACCTACCAAGGCTACTCCAAAGCTCTACAAGAATGAGCAGGAGCTGTGGACTGCACCTGCTGCGTGTTACTGAGCACCTACTGTGCAACTGATGGTGAAGGCAGCCCAAAGTCCACCCTAGAATGCCAAGCTAAACCCATTCCCTGTGGAGGAGCCACGGGCAACAGCAGCAATGTGGTCCAACCACATCGTTGTTGTGCTCCAGCTGTGCTTGTTGCCAGGAAAATGGCTCTGCCAGCCCCGGAGCAAGCAATGGGAAGCGTAGATCTCAGCTGGATGCTCCAAACACAGCTCCAGCCCCCTCACCCACGGTACAGAAACAAGTGCCCAGCAAAAGCAAAAGCGAGTGTGCAACAGGCCAGGCTCTCACCTGCGATCTTCTCGTCTCCTCACCACGGCCCACTCTGCGCCTGCGTTTTTATCAGCAGCGGGGCGTTATCTGCAGCAGGGCTGACCCACAGAGCTTGGAAACTCCCCCCTGGGTGCATGAGGCCGAGACAGCGCAGCACCCACCTCCCACCCCAGCTCCTGAGCAGGGACGCTCCTGTGCACCCACCTGGAGACACAGCCCGATGCTCAAGCAGAGCTCTCTCTTTTTCTTTTCTTTTTTTAGGGGGTTGGGGGGAAGATGTAAGGCAGCACTTTGCTGTGGTTTGAGAATCTTGGCTCCTTCTGTGGATGTGTTACAGGGACACAGTTCCTTCCCCCCGTAATGCTCTTCATCCTTTGCTCCTCTTAAAGGTCAAAAGAGATTCTCTGTACTCACCTATGGAGGCACCAGCTCTAAAGCTCAGCACATCTCTTCCACCTCCCTAACCCACTCTGTCCCGTGTCCCCGTTGTGGTCTGGAAGGGTCCATGAATTCTGCTCCTTGTGGACTTCCCTGTGCAGACAGGAGCAGCAGGATGAGGCACCCGGATGATGGTTTAAACTGGCTTCACCGACCTCCAGTTGCTGCTCTGGAGTGCAGGGCAGCTCAGGCAGGGTCTCAACCCCACCTAAAATGTCATTTTACCAGGAGCTCATCTGGCAAAGCACCATCTCTCCCCTTGGCCAAAGCCCCTGCCCCGGGTGCAAACTTGGCTGATGGACAAACCCCTGCTGGATCAAGTGAATGATGTGTTTGAACAACCTGATGGACAGAAAAGCACAGGAGCTGCTCACCAGGACTGCACCTCAGCTCCCTCCTGACCAATTGCACGTTGCCATCGTGATTTCCCTCTGTAACAGAAACTCCTTGCTTTAGCAGCACAGACTGACAGCACTCAGTTCCTCTGCTGGTGTTCCACAGGGCAGGTTAAATGATTATCTGTCAGCTGAACTCCTCCATGTTGCACAGCGCTTCTGGCAGCGACCCTGCAGGTGTCCCTGTGCCCCAAGGTGGGCCACTCGCTGGTGGAGCTGTAGGTTTTGATGCACTGTCTGGGTCCTTCGGTGCGTTAAAGAAAATCTGCAAAGTGTAAATCTCACAGCGAGTCACAGGCAAGGCTGAATCACAGGTCCTATTTGCAGACCCTTAGTCCAAGATGGGTTTTGACAGGCTGGAGGGAATCACCTACAGCACAGGACATGGGAAAAAGCTGGGTTTGGTCAGCCTGGAGGGGAGAAGGACTAGGGGAGTCTCACTGTCGGCTTCAACTGCTTCATGGTAGGGTTACAGAGCAGAGAGCTAGTCTTTGCCTAAGTGGACAGTGAAAGGACGAGGCAACGGACATGTGGTGCTGCAAAGAAAACTCCTATCAGACATAAAAGCACCCAGGAGAGTGGTGCAGTGCCGGGACAGGGTCTGGAAAAGGTGAGATCTGCATTCTTGGAGACAGCGCTCACTTGAACAAGACCCTGAGCAACCTCCCCTGGCCTTCGAGGTAGCCCTGATGCAGGCCGGGGGGGACCAGAGCCTCAGGGGGTACCCCCTCCCCACCCCACACTGTGATGCTGTGAGCTCAGCATGTTGGAGACGGGAGCAGAGGAGCTGCCGGAGCTGCCACCACCATCTCTGGCTGCTTGCATAACGGCGAGTGCAGCGCTGCTCTTGTGCAAAGGGGTAGAGCCCCCTGAATTTCAAAGCCATAATCTGCTGTATCATCTGCTGTATCATGCAGCTCACCCGTTAGAAAAGGACAGGGAATCGTCACAGGCTAGCGAGACAGTTAGTGCCTATCTGTGCCAATAACTGCATTTCACAATCAGGAACTTACTTAATTGCTCTGAAAACTTCTTCAGAAACCACGAAAGCGCGAGGCTTTGAGAGATTCTTGGTCTCTTGACTGTTCACTTTCTCCAGAGACCATCACCCTGCTCCCAGGTAACAGTGTAGGGGAAAGGTCCCCTAGGTGCGAGTCTTCTGTTGAGCATCAGCACAAGTGCCAAGCCCTCGTGCTCATCACCTTCAGCAGCAAAGGAGAGACCACACGCTACTCCTCTAGAGTAAGGAAACAAGAGTATGTCCCTGCAAGCCTCAGAGCAGAGGCTTGCTGTCAACACCTGGGGCACAGCACTGCAATTAAAAGCACAGGGTGCAAAGCAGAATATCTAGACTACGTTTGCATTTTACCCTTTTTTTTTTGTTTCTTGTAGATTTTTGCGTTTAGGTACCAAAGCCTGATGATCTTATCATCAGTCTTCTCAAGAAGACTTCTCCCAGCTTTGCTGTAAAGCCTGCCTGGAGTTGGGCAACCAACCGAATTAGGGTGACTTTGCTCAACGATGAGTCTGTGCCTATCACAGCAAAATTTGCCCAGCATGTGCCTGGGGAGCAGAGACAGCGCACACCAGAGAGACAAGGGCTGAGCCACGGAGGGAGGAGGGAACCAGGAGCAAGGGAGCATCCTGCAGGCACCAGCTGCAGACAGAGCCTCCAGCTCTGGGCAGACCCCAAAACGTTACAGCTCCTGCTTTTCTTGCTAAGGGTTTTGTTCTTCAGTTCATCTCCTGATGAAAAGATAAAAGCAACAACAGTTTCTTTCAAAACACCTTAAACAACTCGCTTAGGAAACTCCAGCTGGCAAATTCAGTTAGAACCACAACCAACTTTGTCCGTAGCAGGGCAAGCTGAGGATAAATTACTGGGTCACTGATGACTCCCATCGCTCAAGTTTGTTTCAGAAGTCATGGAAATTCCTTCCAGCGTTCATAGCTACAACAACTTTATTACTTCAAAACTTTCAGTCTGTCCTTGCCCCAACTCCTGTCCACCACAGCAGACGGTGGTTCACTGCAACATCAGGATCCTCCTGAAACATTCCTAAGTTACAGGAGCTCCCCAACCGAGTCCCTCCTGCCAGAGGAATCCTGCAAAATCCCCAGAAAAACCCACAGCGACTTTTGCCACCTTGGCTGATCTTCCAGAGGGCCAAGGAACAGAACTGCAACTTCACACAACTGACTTGACAACTGCACACCAGTGGCCTGCGCAAAGCCCCACGTAACCGTGCAGATCACAGCTTCGAGTGCTCACGGTTCCGCTGGTGGGACTGTGGGACATCAATCACTCAATGAGTCAGATGAACAAGGTACAGAGCCAAGACCTGCGGTCTGGCCTCAGAGCTTTTGGGATTTCCTTATATTTCCCTCTAATAGCTAAACAGTGTTGGAGCATATAAAGAATATCGACCAGCCGGACTGTTCCAGTGGATGAGAGGAAAAAACCACGTCTTTTCTTCTTTCTTGGAGTCAGATGCCACAGACTGAGCAGCTTTGCTCAGTTCCAGACAACATCTAGGCAAAAGGACAGAAAAACTGCAACTCCTAGCACGACTGGAGGAAAGCTCAGTGTGTCTCCAGTATCTCCACCCCTCTCTTTCCAAATCGGAGAGACCACAGAGCTTTCTCCTCCAGGATTAGGTCTCTAAAACAGGAGAAGTGAAGACTTTTCACCCCCGGAGAGAGTAGCTCACCCCGTGCTCACAGGAAAGGTGGGCTCCTATACAAAGTGCTGCGGAGCATCCCCAAGGTGTGAGTGATTGGTAGCATTTCCCCCCCTGCCTCCCCACCCCATCCAGAAGAAGGATCACTGAATCTTTTGCTTTTTTTAAGGAAAATGCATTTTTGTGAAAATAGACTTTATTATAATAAAATTTGATATTAAATAAAAACATACCGTATCACCAACACTCGTGGACACTGTGCTGGCACCATTCACATACCTCACATAACTGTCCTTCTCAAAACAAGTATCTCACTGAAACATGCAAAGAAAGAAACACTGGAAAGGATAGAAACTATGTAGTACAAAACTCTCCGTGGCTTAGAAAGGGATGTGTCTTAACTCAAGGAACACATCATCTCATATGAAAATAGCTGCAAACTCTCCATCCCCAGCTCTGCTCTCCAAACGCTCCAATCTCAGGAGCAGCCCACTGAAACAGCCAAATAAAACTGCGAAAAGAGGCAGATGAAGAATAAATAAATAAATAGATAGATAGACAGATAAATAAATAAATAAGGCGGAGTCCCCAGCCAGTGTGTGGTCAAGGTGAACCAGCCAAGAGCAGCTTACAGCAGCCCACTCTGTAGGCAGAAGTATCGATCCCCTCTTAGGGTTTCGCTCCTTCCTCCACG